CTCTTCGTGGCCAGGGTCACCCCCCCAAACGTGAGAGAGTCACCCAAGCCGCCAGCCACGGGGCCTCCCACCCTCAGGACGTCCATCTTGTCCGGGTTCAGCCTCAGCCCATTTTCCTGCATCCACTGCAGTATGGCCCCCAGGCAGCGCTGAAGGGACAGAACGGCATCACCTGCAGTTGGTGAAAATCCCATAAAAAGTTCCTAAATTCCCATATAGTTCCTTAAAATGTCTCAAGGAGGATGATCTGCTTGAGCCGCATTTAAAGGAAGAACAGAAAGATACAGGAGAGACTAGCAAAGATGATTTTTTTTAATTATTACTTTTTGCTGCTCTTTTTATCCCATATCTTGCTAAAGCTGGCATGAAAATCAGCCTGGCCCTGAAAATGTTTGCTTCCAAGATGTTTTACCTAGAGATAGGATAAGTACTTTTCTCAGCAGTTTTCTAAATCTCACCGTCAGTGAAATACGCTCTCATTTAATTTCCATTCCATTTTAGACGAACGGCTAGCAACCTTCTGTGTCTAACAAAATTGGGAGCGACATTCTGATCCACACCACCTTGTGACTTGCACCCGCAACTCGCATTTTGAAGCTTATTTTTAACAAAGGACCCTGGCACGCGCACACATATAGCTGTGATATTTTTGAGTGTTTATCTTTTTTTTCTGCATCGTCCACCTACAACGCTATAGTGTCCAGCCTGCTGAAGACTGGTAGAAGGTCAAAAACTAGTTTACATTTGGGATCTTTTAGTGGTCTGTCAAAACATAATTGACTTTTTCTATGACTATTGATATATTTGATATATATTTGAAAAAGAAAAATACAAATACTACACACTATACTGGTCTTCCATGTCAAAAACAATCTATTCTGTATAGGGGGAAAGTCCCTCACTGGGAACACCTGCTGTCTGTTTAATTTGATGTATGAATCATCAGGTCTGTTTTTTTTTTAAAAAAAATGAAGGTAGGAAATGCTGCTGTCCAGATTAAAGGCACACTTTTGATCAATCCAAAGGACTTTAATTAATTAATCCGATTAATCATTTAAATATGGCAGCCCTAAAATATGCATGGCAATTAACATCCCCTGCCAGAAGCTAGTGTCTTGCAATATCTCTCCAAAACATTAGATTTCTGAATTCTGTCGACATGCAGACTGATGAATTAATTCAGCAATTAATTAGCTTGAAACAAGCATCACTTTGATCTCGCAGATGATTTCTTTTTGGAAATTTCAGTTGAGCTAGCCTGTAAGAGAAAGCATCTCATACAACGAAAGTCCTTCTACCTAGCCATCTCAGGTCTAAGGCACTTACATTAATTAAGAGCAAGGGTATTTTAGGGTGAAAATGTATTGAAGGTGAGTGGCAAACCCCAAATACCTTCTTTTTAATATGCCTGAAAGCTCTTCCTTCCCTACTTTCTGCCATGCCTTGTTGGACAGCCACTTTGCTTTCTTGCATTTCCTTTTCTTTGGGATGGTTTTTCTTGCTGTCTCCTGTACAGTGTTAGGAGCCTCTATCCAAAGTTCTTCAGGGACTCTGTCCACCAAATTGAGCTCCTTAAATCTGTTCTTCACTTCCACTGTGTATTCATAAGGGATTTGGTTTAGATTATACCTGACTAGCCCAGTGGTTTTTCCTACTCTCTTCAGTTTAAGCTTGAATTTTGCTATGAGAAGCTGATGATCGGAGCCACAATCGGCTCCAGGTCTTGTTTTTTGCTGACTGTATCGAGTTTCTCCATCATTGGCTGCAGAGAACATAATCAATCTAATTTCGGTACTGCCCATCTGGTGATGTCTATGTGTAGAGTCACCTCTTGTGTTGTTAGAATAGAGGGTTTGCGATTACCAACTTGTTCTCTTGACAAAACTCTATTAGTCTTTGCCCTGCTTTGTTTTGAACTCCAAGGCCGAACTTCCCTGTTGTTCCTTTTATCTCTTGACTCCCTACTTCAGCATTCCAGTCCCGTATAATGAGAAAAACATCTTCCTTTGGTGTCAGTTCTAGAAGGTGTTGTACGTCTTCATAGAACTGGTCAATTTCATTCTCCTCGGCATTGGTGGTTGGTGCATAAACTTGGATTACTGTGATGTTGAAAGGTCTGCCTTGGATTCGTATTGAAATCATTCTATCATTTTTAATATTGTATCCCAGTACAGCTTTTCCCACTCTTTTGTTGACTATGAGGGCTACTCCATTTCTTCTATGAGATTCTTGCCCACAATAGTAGATCTGATAATCATCTGAATTGAATTCGCCCATTCCTGTCCATTTTAGTTCACTAACGCCCAGGATGTCAATGACTGACAGTTATATGGTGTTTAATTTTGTTTTGTAGGTGATTCAGTCCTTTGCTCAGCCTCTGTCCATGAGAACAGCGTCTACAGCAGAGTGTTTCAGATCTTGTACAGGAATGAAGAGATTCTCATGAATGAGTCTATGAACTTCAGGGTCCACCTCCTTCTGGATGGTGAAAGGGTGAGTGGTTCTTTTCTCAGCAGCCAACATCCATAGTAGTGTGAGATCAAGAGAAATAACTGTACCACTCTGTTCTGCTTTGATGAAACCTCGCCTTGAATACTATGTCCACTTCTGGCCACCACAGTTCAAGAAGGACATCAACAAGCTGGGACATATTCAGAAGAGGGAGACCAACACGGTGAAAAGTTTAGACATCCAAGTCCTGTGAAGAACAGTTGAAAGAAATGTCTGTGTTTAGATTATAAAATAAGGAGGTGATATGATATTGGTTGTTGTGGGTTTTTTGGGCTCTTTGGCCATGTTCTGAAGGTTGTTCTTCCTAACATTTTGCTAGATCAGTGTGTTTTACACCTACAACAAAAACAAACTGATCACCATAATCACCCATCTCCTGAAAAGGACAAAAGCTGATCCAACAGTTATAGATACTCAACTCCCAAACAAACTGCACCAGAGCACAGAGTGCTACGTCTGTCCTCTGAAGATGCCGGCCACAGAGACTGGCGAAATGTTACGAAGAACATCCTTCAAAACACAGCCAAAGAGCCTGAAAAACCCACAACAACCATTCCATCCAGGCCGTGAAAGCCTTCGCGAATACATTGATATGATAATCATTGTTAAATATATGAAGGCCTATCACATGGATGATTGGGGAAGCTTGTTTTCTGCTGCTGTGGATGATAGGACCCAAAGAAATGGAGATTTGAGTCAAGCCATAGGAAGAACTTCCCATCATTAAATGAGTTGGATAATGGAATGAAGTACATCAGAATGTGGCATACTCTTCCTCTTTGGAGGTTTTAGAATATAATTGGGCAGCTACCTGTCAGGGATGCTTTAGCTGGCAATTTTCTGCTTTTTCAGGTATTTAGACTCATGGTCCCTGAGGGTCTTTTCCAGCTCTGCAGTTCTATGATCCTTTCTGTCCCCTGCATCTGCAGGATGACACAAGTCTCAGATTGCAGTGTAATGGTCATAACTTCCGTTCATTAAAATGAGGAAGTGCAGCAGGCCATGCCGTACTAAGAACAGGAAGGCTGGGTAGCCAAGGGCAGTCTGAGACGTCTTGCTGACTCAAGTGAAGCAGCTAAAGTGCTCCCCCACCCACTCAATTTATATTGCAGAGAATCTAAAATCAGCTACTGTGCATGAAACTCCCATTGACGTTGGGTCATTGGGAATCAATCAAATCTCCTATCTCTCTTTCCTCGTAGGGTTGAGCCATGTACTGTATGAAACCTTGAGCTGGCTGGAGGCAATGTGAAATAGAAGCATAAAGGCCAATTCGTTAATTAATACCAACTCAATTACAGGAAAACCATAGGAGAGGGAAACATGAGCCAACATCCTGATACCGTGGTGTCTTTTTTCTCTCCTCCTGAACTTGAATTACCATTTCCAGGAGCCTCCAGAGAGAGGATCATGAGCGTCACAACCAGCCGTATTTGGCCTGTCAGATTCTGCATATGGCTTTTGGTCCAGTGGCATGAAGATACCCCCTTCCCACAGTTTCTGTTCTTCTTCCGTGGACCTTCTTAGCCTTATTCTTTTGCAGTCTGCACAGCCTCTCCTTCACAGGACAATTTTATACCCCCTTCCCACAGTTTCTGTTCTTCTGTGGACCTTCTTAGCCTTATTCCTTTGCAGTCTGCACAGCCTCTCCTTCGCAGGACAATTTTGTTCTGCCTCTCTTTCTCTCTCTGGGTGCAACATCTTTCAAGTTGTCAGTCAGTGAGATCCCTGGTAGTTACATTTCCTTAGTGCCACTTTAGCTTAAACATTGATGGATACAAGCTGACGGTGGAAGAGAATCTCATCCGTCTGTGGCAAATAGGTGATGATTTATCTGTGCCCAGGGAGAGAGCTCTCACACGCTTCAGTTTGTGTTTCATCACACTGTTCTCAGCCCTCTCCTTTCCTTCCCTCCTGCCACCCTTCCCTTCCCTTCCTCTCTTCCCTCCCCGTTTTGGCAGCTGGACTGTAATGGCCACTTTCTTTTCCCAACCTTTCCAGGTAGAAGAGGCATTAAGTGAAGCCGATTTCCAGCTCAAGTTGGACCTGCAGTTTACAGACAGTGAATCGCAGTAAGCTTTCTCCTCTTTTTCTACAGTTGCATCTGGGAAAGAATGAGATCTGATCCTGATAGGAACTGGATTTATCTTCCGCTTTTAGGCGAGTGTGTAGATCAAAATGAAGCACTTGCTCGCATTTCACACTCCTCTGAATGTCACATGATTGTCGAGGCTCAAAAATACACCAAGAATCCTTTTGCGTCTCTCTTTCCCTCCTTTAAGGGCTGGCCCGAGACACTTGAACCAGAATAGCAAATGGCACTACCTAATGTGCATAGGTAGTCAAATTGTTTCGAGGTGTACAGTGTGTGTAGTGGAAGCAGGGGGTCACAAAAAGCCATGAAACTTTCTGATGAGTGGGGCTAGAACATGATTATTCCCCTGGAGACTTCTCTGTTTCCTCTGAGTTTAGCGACTATCTTCAGAACAACTATGGGGAGGGAATGGATTTTTGCATAAAGAGTATATTGGCACAAGCCATGCCAGTTAAGATGCAAAATATTTTTTGTCTTCGAATGAGTAATTATGAGCCACTGATTCTTCCTTTGTTCGTAAGGTCAATCCAACTGGCTGTGTTTTTGGTTTCTCATTAGGGAGAGAGTTGACTATGAGAACTTTCCTGTTGAAAACCTGAACTTTCAGATTCACCACTATGCTGGTGGGCATATAGGTTAGAAACTCCCATGAACACGATTTCCCATCCTTGCTGGTGAAAATCCAGTTAACAAGTAATTGGCTTTTCTCGTATGATTCCCCAAATCTCCTGCCTAAGACAGGCCATGCTGCTTTGCTTAATGGTCGGGTGACTTGTCTTTCTGCTTACTTCAAGAGCAGCACTGATAGTTAAGAGATCTGTGTCTCTGAGGCATTGCTACTACTGGGTTATGATTTCCCCTCCCCTTACTGGCAACGCAGTTGTTCAAGGTCAAGCGTGATATACAAATGTAGGAAGCTGGCTCACAGAAAGTCCTTTGATCCCTCTGTAGTTACGTTGCTGTTACATAGATCCCGTTTGACTTACAGCATACAAGCAGGTTGAGATTCAAATATAAGTTTACCACTGCCATCTGTTAGTAACCTGAAGGGGATTCAAACTCATGGATCCTGAGACCCGGTCCAATGGTTCGTCCACCATGCTATATTGACTCTCTCAATACTCAGTCCATGCCACCCAGTATTATCAATTTCTCCCAGTGTTCCCAGCTGATTCCTAGCCCTCCCTGGAGTTCCCTGGTGTTCCCTTGAGAGCGGGGCCCATTCAAGTATCAACTATGCCTGACTCTGCTTAGCTTCCTAAAGCAGGTGAGGTTGGACAGGTTTCGGCACTCTTCCCAGCTCCAATGCTACAAGTGAGTCAACCTGTTCTTACTGCATTGTCATTAA